GCTCCTAGTGGGGCAATTCGTGGTTTAATTTTCATGGTTGACAGTTTATGTAGCCTGTAAGGGGATGGCACTTCAATGATTTCGTGGGTTTAAATTTCGTGGGCAGCCCATAACTACGAAAATCACGAAATTTACATTCCACGAAAATTTCAAGCTATACAGTAACGTAAATCAGGTTTATTTCGAGCAATGGTAATTTTTGTATAGTAATGTAGCATGCTAAATTTAGAATTGCTAATATTTTCTTTTCCCTATTAATTTATTGGGATAAATAGGCAGTATATGAAAATTTCTGACACCTAAATTTTCCATTGAAATAACCAGATTTACAGTAGTACAACTAAATTAAATGTATACCCACACCATGTGTTTAAGCATACATGTACATGTGTGTGACTATGGTTAAAACTAAATTTCATAGAAAAGAAATGTACAAGTCAAATGCTTCTACATTTACAATAGTACCTTTTCATACTGTCTATATCCTCTAGACAGTATAGTCTTTAAAGTACTTCTTACATGACTAATATCCTGGGTCAAATCACCTTGGTAATCCTTCTCATTCAGTACTATTCTCATACATGATGAACTGATATTAAATAACTAAAGAAATGCATCAGATCAAGTAAGGGAGGGAAAGAGAGTGACAATATTAAATGACAGTATATCCTTCCTCTTACTTCTCCTATATGTTGTTTTAATTCTCCAACAGTCCAACCTTCTTCACCTCTCACTGGTTTAACTGGTCCTACTTCACCAGTTGACAGATCAACCACTGATACCTCTAGATTAATACCTACACCATCAAACAAATGGAAATATTGTCAGATGGTAACAAAGCACACCTCCATGACTATATTTCTTAAAAGTTTCATTTTCTTTGCAAGTTTCTAAGAATAATTTAAAAGAAGAATGAACTCTAGCTCCCCCTGCAATTTGTCCAATAGTTTGATGCTGAAACTAAATCTATAATTATAACAAATGGGATAGATAAAATTTAATACCTCATCAAGATCAAAGGACTGATCCATTACTTTATCTTTAATATTATATTCAACTAAACGACATCTCTCAATAGGAATATGAGGAGCTAACTCCATTAACTGATGAGGAGAAAAGAAATGAACAAAAATGAAATAAACAGCCAAACCTCATAAGCTTTATCCAGTACTGTGAGTAGTAATTCATCTTTATGTACATTAAGAAATGAGCTTGTTAATTTACCAGTAACAGGATCATTGCAAGATAAATAAATCTGCAAAATAAAGTAAGTAGATAGTTGATATGTCTCTTTCTTACCAAACACATTTCTTTTTTAATTTTTTTCTTCTTTTCTCTCCGTCTCTTCTCCTCAGTCTCTTTCAAATCTATCCAAATATTTCAACAATCAAAATAATGATGAGGCACACATTATCAATAAAACCTTTAATATCTTTTATAATCTTCTCATTGTATTCTCTTACAGTCATTAGTTCTTCAGTCATTAATGTTATTCTTTCTTGTAATTTCTCTATTATTCTTTTATTATCTACTAATGGCTGATAGTCTGGACTTGTCATTGCTTTAAGATAAAATTTGCAGTCATCAATTTCAAAAGTCATTCCTCTCATTACTCTGCTAGCAGCTTCATAATTAAATATATAATTATTATTATTATTAATAAAACTACTCTAACCTGAATCAGTATTACTAGTAAGTGATTTCAAATACTCAATCTTCATTTTTGATAATTTGTCTGATGATTTTTTGTTTTCTTTTTGTATCTCATTAAACTGAGATCTCAATTCAGTCACTAACTCTTCATAAAAAGGTTCTTCCTGTTAATAATTATTATAATTAATACAAACTAGTGAGATATACCTCAACTTCTTTAACTGATTCAGTATCACTTGGAACAAACAATGATTCCTCCTAAAAATTAGAATATTCATCTTATCATAAAATATGTGACAGTGCAATAATAGTGTATTATAGCTAACCTCAGGTACTGTCATTGTTGATAATTTTTGTTTCAATTCATTTGCTTCCTATTATAATGTACAAGGAGGAAGGTGTCTTACATATATAACTATAAAACAACTGCATGTATGTGCATGTCATGTATGCATGAGGCACTTTACAGTGTGTGAACTCGCTGCAGTTGCTGCATGATAGAGATAAAGACTAAAGGCCTTTTCCCACTGGCCAAAGTAATGAGCATTGATGCGCATTAATTGTGCTCATACTAGAGTGGTTTCAAATTGATGCGCATCAAAGTGTGCATCAGTCTCACTTCACCTGGAGAGGTGGATGCGCTTCGATCAATGTAAACCAATGGCAACAACAACACAAAATGATGCATCAAAGCGCTTTGAAAACTGTGCCAGTGTGAAAAGGCCTTTATAGTGCATGTCCTGCATCCTGTGAACCAGTCTCTAGTCAAGAGAGCTGAAAACTAACACTAAAAACTAGGAGCTACAAACCTAGAGCACTTAGTCTCATGACAACCCAAGTACCCAATACTTGCCTACGCAGAACAGTTGTCACATGAACTGTTATGCTAACACAGTCTGGTAGTATGACATACCTTCTCTTTGATACTGATAGTATCTCTTAGTTTATATTCAGTTTCTTCAAGTATAATATAAGAAATAACCTGTGAAGATAAAATAATAAAAGTGATAAAATGTACATTTAAAACTCAAAATATCTTTGTCCCTGACCTCAGTATGTTGTAGTAAGTCTTGATCCTTTTCTTTTAGTTCCTATACAATACAATATTCATAAAACAATATTCAATTATTCATATTATGTACCTTTTGTCTGACATCTTGTCTCCTCCATAATGTTAAGTTACCAATAGTCAGTTTCTTTAATCCTTGTCCCATTAGTATATGAATATTCTCTATCATCCTCAATACAGTAAACCCAACATCAGAGAAAGGAAAGGAGCAAGTGACACATATTGAATTACCGGACTCTATATATTTAATGACCAGTAATTTACCGGACACTTTTGATAAAACACCCTTGATATCCTTTAACATATGATCTTCCGGCTTCCAGTCAAAGATGAAAATTGCTGTTTCACATTTCAGAGGAACAGAGCCAAATCTTTCTTCCAGACAAAGACTAACTGAGATTGATTTGTAGAATTCCTTTAACTCTGCTCTATATGTCTCAATGTATTCTTTAGCTTCAGCAATTTCTTCCACTATGCTATGAAGCAGTTCGATGTCTGTCAGAGAACACTCATCTTTAACATGATGAAGGATGCTAGAAATATCTGAACACTGCTCTACTTTCTTACGAAAGGTAACACTATAATAAGACAGGAATTCTTTGATGTCATTCACGTCCAATTTTTCTTTTAATATCTTATTAACATTGTAAAACAGCCTTGTGTAAGAAGTCTTCATTGATTTAAAATCCCGAAGTAAATGCATTGGAACAGGTATTTCAACTACACATCAAAGCATTAACAATAGATGTAGATGCAGATAATCAAATTAATGTTACCTTTAGGTGATAAAGGTTGTGAAGATGAATTACTAGCAACTGCTCCATCAGAAGGACTAGATGTGACTATGGATTGAAGAATAAATAGATCTAATGTACCAAGTTTGTTGCTATGTTATTGTACTGACCAGATTGAGCATTAGTTAGTGCCTTGATTTCATTAGTACTAGTATTATCTATAAATATTAATGAATGCATTATCATTAATCATTCTTACCTTGTACATCATGATCGTCACCAACTTCAGGAGTAAGAAAATACCTCCCTAAAAATTAAATAAACAGTACATAAAATAGGTTCAACTAATTTCATTCATAAATCTGTTTCCACCCACACATACCCACATGACCTAATAATACTTGCCACCCGGCACCACCCACATCATGCAGCCCCACCCGTTTCATTGGAAACTATGAGTACTTGTTACTCACTAATATCATCCAGTATAGTTTGTCCCAGTGATACATTAGTACTGATTGTACACAATACATTAGCAAATGTATGTAAACTGTTGGGATCAGTTTGAACAGCTTCTTTGACAGCAGTTAATAGAGCCTCACGTTGATTAGGAATAGAGGGACTAGCTGACACCACTCTACTAACTGCTTCTTGTGTTAACATACGTTCAGTATAAAGAGACCAAGCAATACTAACAGGATCACAAAGAGACTGAGACAGGACAGTATGACGATTATTAAAAATATTAATAAGAACCTGATGTTCTATGATAGGAAATACAATGATTATAGCTACATACAGTTATGGTTGACTCACTTAACTTCTCAGCTACAGCAGTTTCATTCATAAATCCTAGAGCATCTGACAGTGAGTCCAAGTTGGCTCCTCCTCTACTGTCAACATTATCAGCTCTACGTAACCATTGAGAGAGACACTCTGTCATACAGCGAGATGCATCGTGAGGATGATTCTTTTCTATAACGTCCAGTGAACTCTTCAATAGTCCTAGTGTCAGTCCAAGGTCATACCAATTTGCTTTAGGGAAGCCACCTTTCTTCAATAACTCAAGTACATAAATCAAGTCACCAATATCTATAGGTAAAATCAAGGATTGATTCAGATCTAAAGTGTACCTAGACAAGTTTGAATAGTGGCCATAGCGTTGGCCTGAGGTCAGGACCTCAAAACAAGACAGCAGCAGCAACAACAAGGTCTTGAACCAGCCTTGAACAAGAACCCTTATATTTCTCGTTACGTTGCGCTTCGAGCTTCCTGCTCAAAATGGGTGGGGCTGACGTATTGAATTAATTTGGAAAGCCTGAACTGCAAAAGCTAATGAGACATTGGAGACAGGCACTGAGTAATTTACATTTACAAATTATTTTGATATAATTAATTAATCACACATACCAATAGCAAAAGTAGTGACATTATTCAACTATTAGGAAGAATTATAAGAGGAAGGAGAGAGAGAGAGAGAGAGAGAGAGAGAGAGAGAGAGAGAGAGAGAGGGAGAATAGAGTTAGTGTGTGCAACAGAGAAAGGAGATAAAGAAACACAAAGATCTGTGGGCAAGAGGGTATCAAGTTGGTGATGATTTTCTATTAATTTCAAAGTGTATGTGAGAGTGTTTTTGAACTAAAGACCAAACATAAGGAACAAAGAACTCATCAGGTTGGGACTCTTCAACATAACGGAACTTTAACTCAGAAAATTTCTATGAGGAAGAGAAGAATAAAAGCATTTATATTTTTCTTCTTTTATTTACTCTTAATCTGCTTCTTGGCCATGTTTTTGAATATTTTTTAATGATATCAGTCACGAATTGAGCAGAAAATGGAGGAGTGCCATCCTTCTCGACATTATTCGCAAAAAATGTAATAACCTACACAAGAACAAGTACATTGTATCTATCACCCTCTTTCTCTCCCCCTCCCTCCCTCCCTCCCCCCTCTCTCTTACCATTTCAATATTATTAACTAGGTCTATAAAGCCCGGTCGGCCATGATAAGGTGTGAAAATCTCTCGTTGATAAAGCAGTGAATACACAAAGTGTGGATTAACATGTAGTGTGTACGTTAAACTCGAATTTATGATTTCTAATAACATCAACAATATCTCCTGCAGTGTCTCAGTGTCAGCCTATAAACGACACTCATTGTTAATTAAATCATCATTAATTAAATCATTAATATTATTATTATTATGTTTACCAGTTCTGTGGGCGTGGTAGGTGAAGTAGGTGTGGTTGGGCTGGTGGGTTGGGCTCCAGTTATTGCTGGTATTGGCTCTCCTTTGGATTTAAGATACTTCCTACTCAGTACACGAAATAAACTGAAGAGAAAGAGAGAGAGAGAGTAATAGCAACCCCAAATTTATATTACATTTTTTGATAAATATTGATGTCCTTACGCTGAGTAGAAAGTTTGAGCTGATTCTGACAAATATTTTTCAAGTTATGGTCATTTTAAGAAATATGCCAAAATCTGAAAATTACCCAAGGCTATAGCCCATGGTTTTTTTTTAAATCGCTCCGAAATCACCCCATATTTTAATTACATTTTCTGATACATATTGATGTCCTTATGCTGTGTAGCAAGTTTGAGCTGATTCCGACAAATATTTTTGAGTTACGGCCATTTTAAGAAATATGCCAAAATCTGAAAAATACCCAAGGCTATAGCCCATGGTTTTTTCCAAAAAATGGCTCCAAAATCACCACAAATTTTTATTACATTTTCTGATACATATTGACGTCCTTATGCGGTGTAGCAAGTTTGAGTCGATTCCAACTTCAATTTTTCGAGTTACAGCCATTTTAAGAAAATGCTAAAATTCTGAAAAATACCCAAGGCTATAGCCCATGGTTTTTTCAAAAAATGGCTCTGAAATCACCCCAAATTTTTATTACATTTTCTGATACATATTGATGTCCTTATGCTATGTAGCAAGTTTGAGCTGATTCCGACAAATATTTTTCGAGTTACGGCCGTTTTAAGAAATATGCCAAAATCTGAAAAATACCCAAGGCTATAGCCCATTATACATGTACATATACAGTACATGATTACATGTACATTACTATTAGCTAATGTCTGATAGTAAAAGTATCACTGAAACTTACTTTACTATCTTTTCAGCTGCTTCAAGAGACAGTGAATGAAAATGAGACGACATGTTAGCCAGTGTAGCCAAACAATTAGTGTGGAGAAACTTATCCTATAATAATGATAATAATAGTTATTAATAATAATAATAATGATAATAATAGTTATTAATAATAATAATAATAATAATAATAATAATATTTTTTAAATAACAATAATAACAATAACAACAATAATAACGATAACAATAATAATAATAACAACAAAAATAATTATTATTTTACTAGTAGAGAATAGTAAGGACAGTGTCTTACCCTCAGGTGCTGTATATTCCTATGGACAGTCCTCACTAGTACTATGATCATTAAGCTACCTAATGTGGTCTGAGGGATGCTCTTCTCACTGGCCCATGTGATGTTCTTTACAGTCTGAAAAAGAGATTTCTACTAGTTACAAAATACACAAATTATAATTAAATGTAATTTTAGAATTCATCATTCACTGAAATTACAGTACACCCACACACACAATTAAAATTGTAAAGTATTTCAACTTACAATTTCATGTACTGATTTATTGAAGCACTCATCTTGACTGAGTATCAGTAATATGATGAGTAACATGTAGCTGTGGTGTGAGGGCTTCTTCCCTTCACTGCTTAGCTCCTTCAATAATGGTAACAGCTAATATAGAAGAAGAAGTATCATGTAATGTACAAGGATTATTATATGTGAAGTATCTTACTAGTGTGTTGATGTCTGATCTGGAAAATACAAAACTAGCAAAATTTAAATTATTATGTAGCAGCTGGTAGAAGAAGAGAGTGGTCTGCTCTGTGTTTAGTTGCCTAAAAATGAAAAAAATATTTACATGCAAAGGTTGTCTTATCTTAGACCCAATACACAAGTACAATCTACATGTGCTTCTTATTAAAATAAAAATGACATTATTAAATTACTTGCAGATTGCTTCATGTAACTGATTGAAATTGAGTTGAAAGGAGGCCTTGTCTTTACTTTCATTTTCATCACAGATCAAAGAAAGAGCTTCTCTGTAAGGATTGTGACCACGAGAGTGCTGATGGACGAGGATCAGGAGGAAGAGAAGAGAAGAGAGGGCAAGAGGTGAAGTGTTCTCTAGGATATCATGCTGGGGTAGGACAAGAGAGAGGAGTCCAGCTGGAGAGAGAAAGAAGATATTTTGTCTTAATTGTGTTTATTGTACATGTACATGAATATTTATTCCTTTAAGCTTAGAGTGTAATTTTACAAATCTACATGTACATGTATATCTCTTGCTAAATTACAAGTTTAAGGTACATGTACATGTACAAAATATATCTTAATTATAAAAGTGAAGTATATGATTTTGTTATACTTACAAGCAAAAGAAGAGAACACTCCTGATGGTTGTACCCTCAGTGTATCAGGAGGAGGTATTGGTTGACTGATGAAGAAACTCACTAGTGACTGGACTAGCGATGAAGAAACATCTCTAATTAAAGAGCAGATAGAAAACAATTATTATAAATTCTCCCTCTCTCTCTCTTTTCTTTCTTACAGTGGTATGTCCATCAGTTCATTAATGATGACGCTAGTACTGAAGAGATCGTCTTTATTGAATAATTGTCCTGACATTAGTACAATTGATAGATTAGCTGCCTCAGTCAATACATCATACGTAAATGGACTAAAGAATAAAAGATGAATTAATAAAACAAAGTAAACATTATTAAACATAAATGTGATTGATTAGTAAAAATTGTACTGCAGTCGCTGCTGCTTTATATAGGGATTACATGTACATGTAGTTTCTACAAATTCATTCTGAGATTTCCAATCATCCCAGAATTCACTCTGGATAAAGCAAGTGCTCCATCCATTCAATGATCAATGGTGCTACATTCACTATTAATGAGATCAGTAGAACCTCACAGAATGGATAGCTACTTGTGAATGCCTTTACCACTGCATATATGATTGTTAGTGTAATGGCAATGATGAATTTTGTAGTGGCAGTAATGAATCTATAGTAATGTAGGACATTGATCAAATACTGTAAAGTTATGATCAGCATGGTTGCAGACATAATATCAACCGCAGATAAGCAATACTCATAGCATTATCTATGCTTTTAAACTTGTGCTAAAAAAAGGAAAAGGCTATTGTGGGTGGCCAGAAATGTTGTTCGTAATGTTTATTGTTATGAACTTTATGAATATCATTTTTAGCCACACACACAGTTTAATATACAAGTACATGTGCATGTATAATTAGGTACATTAGGGACTACAGTATTGTACATCTAGCAACTACTAAACTAATCATCAACTAGCAATACTCCATCACTTACACTAGTGGTACTCCACCTATTAACATAACAGTCCCGTGAAGCAATATCTTCAGACCACTCCTAATAGCCACACCCTCTTTATCATCAGCCTCAGTTGAATTAGAACCTCTTGAGGACTGAGGAGGAGGAGGATCAAACATATTAAGAAGGGCCTCCTCAGAATGTGACTGCAACACATGGTGTGATATACAGCGTAAGATGAACAGAGAATTACGCAATTGAAGAGTAGCCATATTGCTATAAGGAGGGAGGGAGAGAAGGAATATTCATGATATATGTACATGTGCTTAAGTAAATTTAAAGAAACTAAAACTATTAGTCAAAAAAGAATTTTCATTGTCTACCAATATTTGCATAAATAAAGAGAATTATGTCAAAACTTTAAAAATAAACATAGAAACAAGAACAAAAACACATGTACATGTACAATATATATGTACATGCATACCTACAAGTATATAGTAAATTCACATAATGTACAATCAATTAATGAGCTGTTACTCATCCTGTTTCCTCCTGTTGATACATTCCTTACCTTTCACATTTTGACTCGTCTCTTAATTTTGATGCCTTCCTCATGCAAACTTTAACGAGAGAAAGAACATTACCTGACTTTGGATTATGAGCCACTAAAGAGAGAGAGAGAGAGAGGGAGAGGAAGAAATAATAAAATTCCCATTTGGCAATAACTATGTTTGATTATTGTCAAATAAAAATGTGAATGGCGGCCAAAATTAAGATTATTAAAAAGCCACACATTTCGTAATCATTACACAAATTATTGTACATAAAATCACACCTAGTTTCTCAATAATAGGAGCAGTAGCTTCATAAAGAACTTTATTGTCACCACTAAAGAGAGAAGAAAGATTATACCTTTAATTAGAATATATTAAGACTTACGGTAGAGTAGGAGGTTTGAACGAAAAGGTCAGTAGTTTGTCCCAGTATTCTTCACTGTCTGCAATTGGTGATTCTCCTACGAATTTCTCCAGCAGCTCGTTACGTCCTAGCTCCTTTAGGCTGGTGGAACTGGCTATCCCCATGCCGCTAAGCTTTCTTCTCTTTTTAGAGGAAAATATTTCATTAGGGATCACCCTATCCTAATAAAAGGATCTTTTACGGTATAAAAATTATTTTTTCCTTCTAAAAAAATAATCTTTTTTTCATAATAATGGCTATGGAGATAATGATAAAATAGCAGCATACTATATAGAATATGTTATAAAAACCTATGTATATATAATATAATAATAATTTTCCTGTTTTACATATAAAATAAATCCTCGATGAGTTCTCTATCACTTTCATCATTGCTCCCAACAAAGATGTCTTCATTTCTTGACCAGTTAGAAGCAGAAGGCAGTGAGGGCAGGGAAGGACAAGGAGAAGACATCCCCTCCTCTCTCCTTTCCCCTCTCCCTCCCTCTGACATTAGTATAAGTGATGTGGCCAGTGTCTCGCTGTTTAATAATATACTCAAAACCTCTTCCTCGTCTTTCTCATTACAAATCCTCTCGGCAGTTCTTGAAGAACCCTGGGTCTCTAAGTGACTGATGGTTTGAATGGAGACGTCTTTTCGTGGGGTTTCTTCCAATTGACTGATCAAGTTATTATGAGGTGGGTCGGCCTCTTGGAGTGAGCACCAGGTATCAGTATTTAGTATCGAGGTACTGTTGGCCTGGGGGGGAGGATATTGAGGGAGAGGGGTGGAGACATGTGACCTCTCTGAGGATTGATAGGAGAGAGACGTGGGAAGAGAAGAGAGGGAGACAGAGAGAGAGACAGAGGAAACAGGATTAGAAGATGGAGGAGGATGAAGAGGAGGATAAGGGCTAGAAGGGTAAGTGGTGACAGGGATGGTAGGGTGGGTCACTGGGTGAGAGGGGTAAGAGTGATGGTGAGATAAAGGTATATTATAAGAGTTTATCTGGTCCTGAGTTGCTGGAAGATGATGGTAGGCATTTGGTACATGATGTGTTTGGGTTATAGTAGGAAGTGGAACTGGAGCAGGCTGGGGGTGATCATAAAGATGATTGAAATGACCAGTAGAGTAAGAAGGGTGGAGAGAAGGATATGGAAGAGACTGAGGCTGATAATGATTGATTGTAGGAGGAGGATAACACTGCTGACTGTTAATATGAGGTTGATGGGGTATTTTAGAAGGAGGTAGACTGGTGGAGGGCAGTGTCCATTGCTGTGTATATGAAGGTTGGCACTGAATGAAACCAGGAGGAGTGCTATAGCAAAGGTTGGTCGTCTCATTATTGCTATTATTATTAGGAATGATGAGTGTTCTACCAGGTACTCTTTGGAGGAGGGGTGACGTGGATGAGTCCTTTTTGTTCTTTTTGGTTGCTTTGAGTGACTTCTGAGTGTCTTTCAAGTTCTCTTCAAGAGGTAAGGAAAGAGTTAAGGAGAATACTTCAGGAATATTTTAAAAGGAGCAGAGGCTTTCATAGTACATGTACATACAGCAGAATTAAATTGCTCAAAAATCAGGCCAATTTTGGCTCATGACCCTGTAGTACAGGGTCACGGGCCAAATTTCACCAAAAATGAAAAGGAGAGAATTCTTCATTTTTATTACATTTCCTGATGCATATACATGTTCTTATGCTGTGTAGAAAGTTTGAGCTGATTCCGATCAAAATTAGATTTTTTATGAACTTTTTAAGCTGCTCCAAAATCAGGCCAAAGTCCCTGTGCTATAGTACAGGGTCACGGGCCAAATTTCACCAAAAATGAAAAGGAGAGAATTCTCGAATTTTATCACATTTTCTAATACATATACATGTACTTATGCTGCGTAAAAAGTTTGAGCTAATTCCGATCAAGAATCCTGCTATTACAATGAACTGTGCATCAGTGTGTGCATTATTTAGAATAAGGAGGATATCAGATTTCTCCCTCAACAGCAGAGCCTGTCTCTTCCGGAGTAGAGACAACTTTCCTTCCAAGTCACTTCTCTCTTGCTTCCAGTCAAATTCAATCTGCTCCTACACATTAAAACAAAATAATACATTTACCACATGAAAAGATCTATCTTTGGGCGGGGCTGGTTCTTTAGCTCAAGGTGTGAACATGTACATGTGCTAATTGATAGACACACCTTCTCTGTTCCAAGGCGAGCCAAGTCCTCCACAAGTTGCTTTATCCTTGCTTTATCATTGGGGCACAAGTCCTTAATCCTAGCTTGATTGGAACCTGAAACAAAATTAAAATAATAATAAAAATAAAAGTATCACTACTTACCATACTCTTGTCTTTCCTCCATTGTCTTTTTTCTTCTATTTCTCTCTCTCAGTCTACAAATATATAATCTCCTATAGCTCTAAACGTGAGCCTACCTTCCCTCATTATTCAAGCTGTTGTAGCTCCTGTAGGCCAGCTGGTTTTCTTTTCCCATTCCCGCCATTCTTGGGACCGCCTAGCGTCCCCGGTATACTTTCCGGACACTCCAGTACACTGTAAAAGCATGGCTGCTTCTTCAGAGGATTGGAGTGAGGAAGAATTAAGACTGGAAAAAGAACATTTCAAAAAGATTGTCAATGCCTATTTATACTACAAGTGGGAAAAGAAAAATACTATCAAAATTTTAAGTATTTTTTTGGTATTTTTAGAGCCTATGGTTATTTGCAAATTGAGAAAATGAAGAAAAACTATCACCTCCTACCAGAGAGACACAAAGATCTCTTAAAAGACTACCCGTCTCACATTGAGAAATGCAAGGAGGCCATTGATGCCAACTTTGAGTTCATTAAAGGAGTCGTGAGCAACGCCATTGGATTTCTTAATAATTCAGACGTATCAGATTTTGTAAGATGAAATGAATATAAATAGTGCCGTTTAGCCTCTTTAATAAGGAAACTTATATCTTTATAATATTAATTAACGTCGCAATTATTAAATGAAGATACTTCTTTTTAAAGGATAGTATTGGTATTACAGTGTAATACCAATACATTGATGCATGATGTCTAGAATAACTATACTTATTATTTAATATGAGGACATTCTTTATTGCAGAGTTGGGAAGATGCACAGTGTCAAGTAGTCCCTGCTACTTGTTTTGACATGGAGAAAGTCGTTACAACCATCAAGCAGTTTTATAGAGACTGGAGCAAAGAAGTACAAGACCATTTTTATTTTGAGCTACTGCATAATTTTTTAATTATTTTATATTATAGGGAGAGAAAGAAAGAGAGCTATGCTATGATCCAATCATCACACAATTAAAGAAATACTTCCCACCATCTGATTGGTAATAGTTTCTTCCCCCTCTCTCTCCTTTTCATTTTCTGTCTCTCTTCTCTTCCCTCAGTGATGTATCATCAGTTAAAGTGTTGGTTCCTGGTTCTGGTCTTGGAAGATTAGCATTTGACATAGCTCACTTGGGCTACTGCTGTGAGGGGAATGAGTTCAGCATGTACATGCTGCTAGCTTCAAATTTTATGCTAAACAAGTACATAATAAATTACTAATAATATACTTAAATATCAATTTCCCTAGGAATGATGGTACTGAGTTACATACAGTTCATCCATGGGCACTGAAGACATGCAATAATCTTGAGTATAGCCACCAACTGTCCTCCATTAAGATACCAGATGTGAATCCATCAGAATTACCACAGTATGGCCTATTCTCAATGTCTGCTGGGGACTTTTTACAAGTATATACAGAGAAAGGTCTGAATAAAAATTCATTGTATTTATTATCTGTACTGCAATAATTTAAATCAATGGCGTTAATGCTATAGTGTTGTTTTGCATATTCTATCATAGACCAATGGGACTGTATTGCCTGCTGTTTCTTCATTGACACTGCACACAATGTCATCGAATACATTGAAAATATTTATAAGATACTCAAGCCTGGTGGACTATGGATCAACTTTGGTAAAGAAGAGAGAGAGAGAGAGGGAGATCATAGAAGATGATATACAAATACATTACTAGGTCCATTGTTATATCATTTTGCTGATATGCCTGGTGAGACATCACTTGAGTTAAGTTGGGAAGATATCAAGAGAATTAGTTGCAAGATTGGCTTTGAAATAATGGTAACCAACCCTCTCCACTATATACCCAAGTATCATTACTAATCCTTTTTAGACAGAGACTCTTAACTGTCCTTCATATTACATTCAGCATCCTCAGTCAATGATACAGCTCTGTTATAATTCTGTCCTCCTGGTTGCTAAGAAGCCATCGCCCAAACTGACGACACCGGAATGAACATTCTGTCATTATTTTATCGAACATTATTAAATATTTTATTATTGACACAACAAGATTTGATTAAGTGATTAAACAAATGTACAACACATTTAAACTGAACAATAATTGATTGACACATTAAAATTATAATAATTAACAATTAACAATGAATAATTAATGTCGGATCATTTGAGGTTAAGTTTGAGAGAGAAAAGTCACAATAAATTTTTTAAAGGTCAAAATTTCTTTTCAGATTTCAGAGTTCATTAGCAGGTGTAATGTCGCCTCTTAATAAATGCCAGCAGTAGGCCCACTCACCAGGTGAATCAAGCATTCTGCTCCAATGGACGACCTCATCTCCAGTGGAGTCCATCCAGTCATGTATATAATCTGTCTTGTGTGGGCGGGAGGATTTAGGGGAGTGTTTTGGTGAGCGCTTGCGTCTTAATATGGGCGAGGGGGAGAAGCGAGGGGAGAGGAGGGGGGAGTCCCTGTTGGGTAGAGTGAATACAGGGACCTTCCTCAGGATTGTTAAGTCGTTGATTGATGAAGCACTGAAGGAGGCGGGTCTGGTCTTGAGTATACGAGAGGACACTGCCTGATCTAAGTCCGGAGTACTACTGTGGGTGCCTGTAAAAAATAATATTATTATCATTTAATGAATAGAAAATAGTTTTTTAGAATTGATTAAAAGCAATAAAAATGAAGAACTTTCTCAGTCATTTTTTCATAAATACCCAATATATTGTACAGGGTCAAGAATCAAATTTTGAAGCATCTTAAAAGCTTCTGAACAATCTAATTTTGATTGTAATTTGTCATAATATTAAAATAATCCATTACCATTTTTCATAATTATTACATTTACAACTTAAAATTAATCTATTCCAATACCTTCTTCACTCTCCAGTCCTGAATTAAGCAGGAGGGTTGGGGTATTAATCCTCTCGTGAGACAAGCAAGATTTCATGTCCTTTGAGGCCGGAAGACCCGGCGAAGAACACCGAGAGTTAGGCGGAGAGACAAGATACCCAATATTACTAGAGGCAACACTCGGAGCACTCAACTTATCAGTTGAGCGTCTCTGAGGTATAGAGAGCCTCAGACCTCCAATCAGACTATCATTAAAGAAAAGGTGATGATCGTACAGAAGGACTTCAAGGCCTCCATGAAGAAGATCAAGGTTGTCTATTCCGGCGTATATGAGTTCTTTAGACCACGTAGGGTAGGCACTGGTCTTAGGGCTGGTCTGTTGTGAGGTGACGCTGTTTGGATCAGGAAGAAAAGCACTGGAGGGAGGGAGGGAAGAGATAAGGAGAGACAGAGACAGAGAGACAGAGGGAGGATGTGGGAGGGAGAGAGTGAAATAAGAGAAAAGGTAATTGAATATCAAATAGCAATTACATCAGGATATTATCGTACTGTGTAACTGTGTGTGGTATTATGATTACAATGCATGTGTACATGAAATATGATACTTCTATTGTATTATATACACAAACTACTACTACTAGTAGTTACTAGTAGTAGTAGTACTACTACAATACATGTGTACATAAAATATGATACTTCTATTGTATTATATACACAAATTATAATGAAATGTATACAACCGGCAATAATGTAACTACTACTACTACAATAAAGCAACCACAAAAATCCTTTTGTAGTACAATACACTCATACTTAACATATTTAATATACACTAATACTTAACGTGTCTTATACATAAACACTTTTACATAAATGCCTCACCATTTTAGGAAAGAGTTTAATGGCTTCTTGCTCTTCTCTCTCCCCAATCCGTCCCCCTCTACAAGATGAACCTAATAATAATAATAATAATAATAATAATAATAATAATAATAATAATTTAAAAATAAAATAAAATACACTGCAATTAGTAGACTAATGAAATGAGTAACAGTGTGGAACATGTAGGTGTCAAACAAGGAAATGCTGACATAATTGGGCAATATCCTTCATGAGCTGTTACCATAAACATCAGCCCACACAATGAGCTCATGTGAGTTGCTGCAAGGAAAGAAATTCCACACAGCATAAAGTCATTAATTTGCATCAGGAAATGTAATAAAAAAGGAGAAGTTTTTGAAGCCAATTCGTTCATAAAACACCAGGCTTCATCCAGAAAAGTTTTCTTTTATTATATACACATACATGCACATGTAGTTAACTAGTTATTGGTATACCTGTAACTGTCCAGCCAGTAGTCCACAGTCGACTGTAATGTCTGATTTATCCCTGAGACTGTCACTGGCTCCTGATGGATTGTACTTAAGGCCAAGAAGAACCTCACCAATGAATGGCCATGATTCAGGCTGGGGACACTAGAGAAAGGAGGGGAGAGAGAGAGAGAGAGCGAGAGAATATGACACTTAATACATTCACAATCTGTTAGAATGTTCCCTGTACTGTAGTTTCATAAGTATGTACATGTACATGTGCTTAATTCTTACCATAAGGTTGATGATGATGTCCAGTGGGCAGTCGTCATCATCAGTGGAGCTGGTCAGGAAGTGAGTGTCGTTAGTGTTACTGGTACCATCAACACTGCTGTGGAGGGTAGCTGTCAACTTTACCATCTTACTACCTCTTAATATTGGGACCTCCTTTAAATAATCTAATAATAATAATAGTAATAATAATAATAATAATAATAATAATAATAATAATAATAATAATAATAATAATAATAATAATAATAATAATAATAATAATAATAATAATAACAACAATAATAAAATACATCATTAGTTCCTATTCTACTAGAACCATCAGCTTATTGGTACATGTACAGGGATTAATAGAGGAAGGAAGATTAGATAATAATAATTATAATAATATTTATTTCCTAATAGTCATGATACATGATACATGTGTGTATCTATGGCTGGTAGAGTAGCTGAGTAG